AAGCTGATATTCGTTGCCAAGTTACTCAAAAAGAGAAATGCAATGAAGACCCAATCCATTAGAATAGCTCATTGCTATGATTAAGGTAACTACTTCCATTAAACGTTTTACTTCTCGAAAATACGCACAGCACGTTAGCGCCAAATCGGCACTAGGTTCCGACCACATCGGTAGTCGTCTTCAGCAACGAGGAGACTTCAGATAGTGCTGAATACAACGACCAGGTGTCATCGAAACTCGGTCCCGCTTTGTCGTTATCGTGCTGTGCCTATTTTTAACAAGTAAAACTTTTAGGGAAGCTGCAACAATGAGGATCTTGAAAGCAGTCTCATGTACAGTGCAAAGATACAATGACGAAACATCTGTCATCTTGAAACGTCATAAAACTCGTTTCGGCAGCTTCGAAAGGTGCTGTCTACGAAGTGTCATGGAAATGCGAGAGTACAATCAAGTCAAGAACCAACATGTGCTGTCGAATATCGGTCCAAGAAAACGATCAGAATAACTCACAGACTTGGGATGGTGTTGTCTTATAAAAAAGTAAAAAAATGGAAACCAGTTTTATACTTACGTCAGCCTTTGCCAGGGGAACCATCCACTGGGTGCAAACTAACCGAAAGCCAACACAAAACAAAACGTTGAACGTCTGGCCTATGACAAAAAATATGACCCATGCTACAGTAGCGTAAAGTGCTTAATGCACTTCTGAGGTACCATTCAAAACTGTCAGGTGAAACGAATCACAACTACTCTTAAAGAATTATTAGTACTAGATGACACAACAGGAGCCTGACACGATCTCGACTGCAACCCTCTGTTTCTTTAAATCGCGAATTCACAATTTAGATAGCTTGGACACGCAGCTAGAATGTCATAGAAGAGACCAGCAGGATTAACTCTCATTGCGGTAATACACTATACACCAGAAAAGAGACCAACTGCCCAATCCCTGGGCATCGGACATTGCCGCGCTAATCCAATCCCTAGAACTTGCCAACTGATGAAGACCGAAATGATCAGAAATTTTTTTTGACGTTGCTGTTTCAGCAAAGGAATGGACGAAAGAAACTGAACGGCTTACAGATCCAGACATCATCCATCGTTAGAGAGTAATAGCTAAACTTTGAGCATCAAATCCCTGAAACGCGTTATTTTCAGCATCAGTTAATGAATAATTTCAAGAATTTCAGACATACGAGCAAAATTATGGAGTTAGTCAAGTCGAATGTCATCTAATGTGGGTTAATTTCAGCTCGATACGATAGCTCATCTTGAAATCACCACCAAATTAAGTTTTCAAAATGGACGTGACGGATACCCGGCCTACTATTAAGAAGTCAACTTTTCTAAACTCTAAACTGCCCTTTTCGCTTTCCTGCGCTAAGAATATTAACTTTGCAAAGAAATCTAACAGACTAACAACCCTACAGTCGACCGGCCATGAGTAACTGACGATAATAAACTCATTAGCGACTTCTTGCAATTAAAGGGCTGTAGAAACGGTTTGATAAACAGAACGAACCAAGCGCTGGGATATCGGTTTCCCGTACATTTCCATGATGGGCGCTATTTGTCGTACCGTTCTTTCATAGACCTTGTGGTGTGACGCTAACTTTAGTTACTATGCCAACAGCAAGGAGTGCCTTAATGCTTTTTAAACGCTATATCTAACAGCGAAAAAGCCTTCATAGCATACTGGCTTCTGCTCCATTCTGACCAAGTAATACTTTTTTCCTACTTCGAAAAGAATCTAACACATTAATACAGGACAGCACTGCACTCCGGAAGCTGCAGACAGAGTTATGCTAGCCCCGAACATATGAGAACATAACTGACACTCAGTCATCATAACAAGTCTTTCGTAGCTGATTCTTTACCTGACGTTGATAAAAAAAGAGCTGAAGTCATTTTTGAGTTGCGCCTTAGGAATCAAATCGATGTCAAGAAAGTTAGCGAAAAGACATACTGCATTACGTATGACAAAATTCGAAAGAGATGATACAGAATATCGAATGATTACAAGCATATTCCCCAATGTTTCGAATCGGGTTCGATCCGTTTTCAGGGAAAGACATTATATAAACCAGATATCTATTTACTTACGAATGTTGATCATTTACCAGAAGTTGCCACTGCATAGGTTATAAGTTTGCCTTTGGACTGAAGAGACTATAGGTTTCATTCTAAGCGCCAGCATTTCGTCCAGGCTGCTAAATAAAAATGGGTTATCGACATATCATCCAACATAGATGCAGGGGTTAGAGAGACTTCAGCGAGTTCCACTCAAGGTCAAGACGTACAATCTCGCCAGAGCAGTCAACGGGCTCATCGCCAAGCCAGGGTTACCGTGTTGAACAAGTAGACATACTTTCCTACCATAATTTTATTAGAATGGCAGCGTCACTTTTCGACAGGAATACAGTAAGACATAACTGCATCAAAAGTGATGGGGAAAGGAAACGACATTCACGCCCAAGAGCGGTCAAAAAATTCGAGAATCCAGGTTTCTTCATCGCTCTTTGATTGCGTCATTCGATTTCAGACAAACACTGTCAGACTTTCCCAAAATTACGCACGCGATTATTCA